TGTGTCATGTGCAGTCAGCCTCTGGCTTCAGGAGAAGACACCTATCACTATGTAAAGTTTCCAGAATGGGGCAAACTAAACAAATCTTACTCACTAAACTGAGTTCCTTTATACTCCCAATGGTCACCTTGGAAAATTACAAGCAGGTAGTGAAGGAATAGACCAGAGAGATGGAGGTTAATGGAAACCAAAATAGGGAAACTGCTCAACGAGTGAACTTAAGTGAGAATCCACACCTCTGGGGGTGCAGGGATTAGCGGGTGACTCAGCAAACCTGGGAAGGGGGTGTGAGAAGAAAAAGCAGCTCCAGTCTTCCTTGGACCTCTAGTGGGGATTCCACAAATCACACCATTCAGTGAGTTAATTCTCTCATAATCCCATACTAGTAATCAATTGACGATAAATAATCAAACATGTTCCCAGTGGATTTGATAACCAGGAGGCTCTGTGTAGATGAAAAGGATGGTGAAGGGGGGTTCTTCGTTCATGGGGGGAAAAGTGAGGAGGCCGGGATGCTTTTCGCCCCTTTGTACTACATTACTGAAAACTAAATTCTGAAAAGAAGAGAGGGAAACAGGGAGAATGAAAAGAGAGAGGTGAGATTCTGTTGTTGGGAGTGTAAATCGAAATAATTGTAAGACTTGATCTAGTAAGCCTATTTTTAGGAATATCTCTGAAGGAAAAAATCATAAATCTTAACAGAGCCTTTAAATCTCTTAACTATAACACTAAGGGATTAGTTAGTAAAGGTTTACAGTGCAGCAGATGAGAACTTCTATTTCAAAGAACATATGGTGAAACTTTTAGGAAATTCAAAGGGACAGAACTAGGAACATTATTTTAGCTGTGAAGATAATACGGATTTTAATGGAAAATATAGTAGTAATGATAAAATTATCAGTGGTTCTTATCTCTCTCCGTGTGGTTTTCTGTATTTTTCCAAATATTAGCCAGTGAATAAACACTACTCTCCCTATTACATATGTGGGAGAATTCTAAGATGGTTATCAAGATTCTCTATCCTTGTGCCTAGGGTTGTGGATGCAATAGGTACTATGCCTATCATTATGTCATGTAGGTAGCAAAGGATACTTTGCAGATGTAATTAAGGTTACTAAGGAATTGACTTTGAGTTACTTGGGAAAAACTTTTTACAATTAGGTCTAATCTACTCACATGAGCCCTACCAAAAGAATTTGACCTAGCTGGTGGTAGAAGGAGAACACAGAGAATATGGAAGGAAAAGGTTTCTATGAATGGCTGCTGTCTTTGAAGATGGAGGTGCATTAGCCAAGTTTTTAGTTTTCTGATGTTTTCACATCTGAGGTTTGGTGGCCCCAAAGAGTCTATTCCTCCTAGGGCTGACCAGTTCCTAATGAAGCAAACATCCTGCCTAGAGGAAAACTTGTAAATGAAAACTAACTAATCCAGAACCCATAGCCCAAGCACACTCCAGCCCATTGTGCATCTGCCTTAACCATCCCAGGGTCAGTACCAGATACCGAGGGTAGCCTCCATGCCCAGAGCCTCCTGAAGTTATTCAAAGCAGCCAATCTGAAGCCAACACCCTGCCTCACCTGCTTCTTCTGATGGAAATCACAGTAAATGGCCCTGCCCATACTTCTGACCAGCCATGGTGCTTCTGTGTGCTCCCGGTGCTGCAGCCAGCCCACTCCACTGAGAGCAAAACACTTTCTTCCTGTCGGCCAGCTTCTGAATGGTTGGCATCACCCAATCTCAAATTTCCATTAATACAATAGACCTCTGGCCCCCATCTCATTATGTAAAATGTATTTAGTCCATTTCTAAGAATTGCCAAAGTCCTAACAGTTCCAGCATTGCTGAAAAGTTCAAGTTCAAAGTCACCTATGAGACTCAAGGTAAACTCTTTGCTGTGAGGCTTGGTGAAAATCAAAAAGAAAGTTAAATACTTTTATCATACAATACTACAATGTAAACATTCCCATTCTAAAAGGAAAGAATAGGGAGATAGAAAAGAATTGGACTAAAGCAAGACCAAAACCCAGCAGGGCAAACATTAAATCCTGTAGTTTTATGCCTGGTAACTGGGGCAGGACAGCAGAGGTGAACTCCAAGAGCTTTGGCGGCCTCACCCCTATATCCTTGCCAGTGGCCACCCACATGGTCCCTCTCTCCAACTGGCTCCATTTATTGTCTCTGGCCTCCCTTGGTAGATGCTCTGGCTTTGGGCATCTTTAACTTTCTGGGGTTTCCACTGCACCTTTGTTTTTATTCTCATAGATTTATGCATCATCCACTTGGGGGTACATTGTCTCCCTTCCAAGCTTTCATTTGAAATCTGAGTGGAAGCCTCCAGACCTTGCAATTTTTGTATTTTTTTCATGCCTGCAAACCTAGCACCTCGTGGATGAGGCCAAGGTCTGCTCTAGCTAAAGCAGTGGTCTGGTCCCCTTGGACAATGGCTGCAGTCGCCTCAGAATGCCTGAATACTTGAATTTGGGGAAACACTTTCCTAGACATCCCTGAATAAGTAAGCTACCCTAAGGCTCTCTTTCCAGAGCAAAGTCTTTTAATAGTGTTATGCTTTTATATCCTCAAGCCTGTGAAAGATGGAGTCTGGCCAATACCTGAGATCTTCATTATGAAGCCATCTTTATGATTGTCTTGGTACAATGTACTTGAGTATTTTAATGCTAATCTTTTTAGCAACTATGCTCTCCTTGGCCCCAGCTTTGCAGACACTTCCTTTTTGGTGAAACTGAACTTTTAAAATCATTTACCTCTGTCTTTTCCTCTGATATTCACTGTAAATTTGACTAAAAGTGGTCAGCAGTATCCATACCACAGTACCCATTGAGCTGCCTTGAAATTTCTTCCACCAGATCAATTAGTCCACTACCTTTAAATTTAGCCTCACACGAAGTCTTAGGATATGGACAAAATGTAAACAAATTCCTTGTCATAATGAAATATGCATGCCTCCTATTTGAGTTTTGATTATAGTCCTGATTTCTATCTGAATTTTCAGGAGTGTGGCCTTTACTGCCCACATTCTTATCAGCATATGGTTTTTTTGAGCTCTGACAAGAATTGTCCATCAAGCTCTGCTAACATCATTTTAAAGCTTTTTCTGACTAATCTCCAACACTTTTAAAACTCCTCCTGAAGATCAGTTTTAAAGACTTTTAAACCACATATTTAAGTGCAGTCACAGAAACAACCCTACTCTCAGTAACAATTTTCTGTATTGGTCATGATCCTGATACTGGGACAAAATACCCAACATCTGCAACTTAAAAAAAGAGAAGCATAATTTGACTCATAGTTTTGGCCCATGGTTGGCTACTTTGAAAGAAAAATGGCATGATGGAAGAGCATAGTGGAGAAAAGCTCCTCATCTCATGGCAGTGAAGAAGTAGGAAGAGAAGGGAGGATCTGGGGGCAAAATACACCCCTCCAGGTCAGGCCTCTGGTGACCTACCTCCAACAGGCATCACCTCTTAATCATACATTTAACTATGAACTTACCAGTTGATTAATCCTTAGGGTGTTTTACTCAAAAGCCCCGTCTCTTAACACATAAGGCTTTTGGGGACCATTTTAGATCTAAACCATAAGAATTATATTTCAGAACAGGGGCCACCTACAAGACTTAGCAAACAGCCTCTATCTAGTACCTGAGGGAAACTGTGGAGCTGAGAGGACCCCCTGACCAAATACCCAACTTTGGTCCAGCAACTACAAGGAATCAAATTGACCAGCAACCTGAAAGACCCCAGTGACCTTCATGCAGCTCCAGATAAGAGTCTTGTAGGGTCAACTCCTTGATTCCAGCTCTGTGAGACCCTGCACAGAGAACCCTGCCTAGCCTGTGTCAGGGAGCTGGGAGGTGATAATTGGCTATTGGTTTAAACCACTTAGTTTAGGTATTGCGCTGCATAGAAAACTAATAAAAATCTATAAAGACCATATTGCTCATTCATTTCTGATATGTAGACTGCTTTTAATTTCCTTCCATCTGGATAAATGACATCATCTTGTTTCTGTTTTCAGCACATGAGAAGCATTTTCATTCTGGCTTCTGATAGAATCTGAAGTTAGAAGCAACAAGTCACCAAAGCTCTGAGCACAGGTCAGCCTCCTGCAGCTGGTGCATTATGGGGCTACAGCCAGCTGCAATTGCCTGTGGGGTTCTTGGATCAGGAGCGTTCACCTCCTACAATTGCTGTGCCAGGTGGAAATATGAGGAGGCTCTGATTGAATGATCTCAACTCATTGTCCCAGGTCAGACTTAGAGGAACACAGCATGCTCCACACACCACAGGGCCCTTCAACGTACCAAGCCTGTCTTTCAGAGCTCTGTGTGTGGCTCTTGTCTGCTACAGAGCCCCATGTTCTGCTGCGATTGCTGCGGGGTGCATCACTCTGCAGGTGGCCCGGCATCCTGGCCGGATATGCCCAATGTGCCAGCCTATACTCCGGACAGAGAACAGAAGGACTAGAGCTGAAACCCCCCCTCTAACAACCTGCACTCACTTCCCTGAGCCTGAAAGGCCCATCTGGGCCGGGGAACCCAAGCTCCAATGGCCTCAGATCTGCTGGGGCAGGGACAATGGGACATGGAGCCCCAGGGGTGTGCAGTCTCACAGCCACACCGCATTGCCTGTGCTGCTTTCTTCACAGCTTGTTCTTTGCTGGGAGGAGTGAGTTGGAGGTCATGTAATTAGAGAACAGCCAAAAGCAGAGATCAGGGTCTAAGAAGTGCGTGAAATCCATAAAGGGTCCATTGACCACTGAGGTCACAGTGACAGTGATCACACAGTCTTCGCACAGCTGCACAGTGGCCTCGCTGCCTGGCTCATCATGTGGGACCGGCCTTCCAGATATCAACCCTGGGTGGCTACACTATCCCAAACTTTCAAAGTGTAAGGAAGGAAAAATATTATTCTTTTACAAATAAAAATGTTCTGTTCTCAAATAACCAAATCAATTCTTCATCAATAACTGCAAAACTACAATTCAATCTCAAAATTTCATTTCAGCTTTATCAAGTATTTTTGTCTGGCAAGAACTAAAGTTAACCAGAGAGGGCACAAGAAGACACAGTCAGATCTCGCCACGCACACGTTGTCGGCTATCCTGTCTCACGGAAGTCCTGACTCCGCCCTCTAAGGCCCTGTGAACTTGGCTCCTATCAGCTCCCAGACTTCATCTCCACTCCCTCGCTCTCTGCTCCAGTGAAATGATTCATCAAGTGCCTGCCTCTGGCCTGCACAGCCTCTGCCCTAGCTTGGAGTGCTCTTCCCAGCCCCGCACAGGGTCCTCGCCCTTCGCTCCTTCGAGGCCCCACTCCGTGGTCGCTTTCTCTGGGGCTTCCCAAGGTACCCTGCCTGACACTGTGCCCTGCTGCTGCTGCCCTCGCTTCCCTTCCCCGTTCAGGATGGGGAAGGGGGGCTGGAGGGTCACAGGTGCAGAGGGGCGTGGATCTGACTGGTGCCATCTGACGCCAGTCACTGACCCTGAAGTGGTCCCTCCCCCGGGCCTTGGGCCCCTGGAGCTCTGACCTCCCCTCCCCTCCTGGCCCCATCCCACCCACCCGGCCGCAAGGAACGCTTTCCCCAGGTCTTCAGGGAGACCCCTTCCTCCCAGAGCAAGGCACCATGGGAACGGGACCTTGCTGTCCGATGCTGCGTCCCCAGTGCCCGGCTCAGCAAGGCTGCCTGGCTCAGTGAGCACTGAGAACTCAGTGGCCCGGAGCTGGGGAGGAAGCTCCGGTGAAGACACCACAGGAAACATGCGCGTCCTCACCCCAGGGCAAGAAGGACCGCCTGGCCAGAGCTGCCCCAGGCCTGGTGACACGCAGACACAGGGACCAGACGCTCCCTCGAAGAGCCCTTGGGGAAGTGTGGACACTTGACCCCCAGGAGCGCTTAGAAGCCACACGCAATTTTAATCCCAGAAGGGTCCCGTGGCCCTCGAAGAAGCTGACGCACTAGTACTTGGAGGTAGAGGTGGCAACAGCCCAACAATGTGTCTTTCTTGCTCGTCTGTTGGTAACAGAATCCTTACTTTCCTGGCACAGCAGTACTCCCAGCTCAAAGACTACATTTCCCATCATCCCTTGCAACAAGGCCTGGCCACGGGACTGAGCCGTGCTCCGAATATGGAAGATTTCAGGGACATTTTCTTAAAAAGGGTTGATAAAATTGAGACTAGCATCCTTCTCCCCTTCTCCCTATTCCCCTTCTTGCTGTACAGCATATAGAGTTGATGGCTGGCACTGTAGCAGCCTCTTGGACCATGAGTTGCTCTTGGTGGTAAGAGCCACGTACTGACTGTGGCCAAGCAGTGGTCCTTGAAGTCCTCCAGGCTCCACCGTTATGGCTGAGGTCACTGTTGTGTGAGGGCTTTCTGTGAAGTGCTGTCAGTATCTCCAGCCAAGGGTCACCATGAACACACCTGTGGCCAAACAGGTTATTTGTTACTCTTACAGCAGGGGACCATGATCATCTTGGGAGGAGGGTGCGGCAAAGTATTTGGTCTTTGCGTCTAGTGAAATTTGACGCTGCAGAAACATGAATTGAAAGAATAAAATACCATTAGCACATAATGCAGCTCTTTCATAGCTGACAAATTAAAATTATTTTTTATCTTAACGAGAGTTAATAAATTGCTAGTGTTGCTCAGTCTGCTGGTCAGATTTTAAAACCCTGTTTTGTTCTAACATATACATTTTTTAAATGTTACATTACTTGAAGTTCTTCATTTGAACATAACCAAAATTCAGATTTTGATAGATCAGTGGATGTGACTCAATTAGTGCCAACTGGGATTAGATGAAGTTTATTTCGTTTTTTTCTGCATAGAACAATCCACACTGGCTCTGAGTTACACTAGGAAAAAGTCATAATTGGGTGATACTTGAAGTAGTTTGGGCATGCACTAAGGAATCTATTTTGAGTTCATCTTTTATAGGTGAAATATAATTGCTTTGTACCTGAGGCAAAAATCCAATGGGGAAAAAACAGGCTGCTGTGTAACTGTCACCTACTATAAATGCCACAGAATGAAAAAAATCAAATTGGCCCAAAGTGTGAGGGAAAAACAATATTCAAATCTAAATTGGCTTAACTATTAAAGGAAACAAGGACAATCGCTAGAGGTGGCCAGAAAGAAATCACTGTGCTTTGAATGGTTTCCAGTGCACTGGATTTTTTTTAATCTGTTTTCAATAGGATTCTGGGAATGTCCTAGGAGGCCACAACACAAGCTACACAATGCAGTGACTGCTCAGAAACAGTCGGCCACACAAGCATCCATCCATTTATTCAACAAATATTTACTGGCCATACGGAATGGACTTGCTCTGTGCCAAGAAGCTAAAGATGAAGACCTTGATGTCAGGGAGTTTACAATCTTCTGGAAAAGAAAAATAAATTTACTCCAAAAAATTATTCAAACTTCTACACTGCTGGTGGGAATATAAATTAGTACAACCACTGTGGAAATTAACATGGACTTTGCCCAAAAGAATAAAAACAAAACTACCATGTGATCCAAGGATACCACTCCTTGTACCCCTATAGCCAAAAGAACCTGAGCCCACCTACCTCGGGGACACATGCGTGTCATGTTTGTTGCAGCACAGTGTACAGTAGCCCCAATATGGCGTGACCCTGAGTGCCCATCAAAAGATGAATAGTGAAAATGTCGTATATTATACAGTGGAGTATTATTCGGCCATAAAGAGAATGAAATGTTGTCAATTGCAGAGAATTGAATGGATCTAGATGATCATGTTGAGCAAAATAAACCAAACTCCGAGAGGCAAACATGATATCTTCTCCCTGTGATATATAGAATCTTAAAAAAATGACAAGAAAGTGGAAGGGAGGCTATTATTAGACAAGAGGAACAGAAGAAGGGGGAAGATGGGTGACAGTGGCAGTACAAGGCCAAATGCATTATGCGCATGAAGCCCCCCAAAATATTTGAAACTAGGAGGGGCCGAGGCAAGGGAGCCTGGGCAGGGGAACAAATAAAATGTGTTATGTTATCTGCAAGTTTGCCAGGGTGAAATCTGTACAACCAGATTTTAATCTGCATAGCCAGTATGCACTAAGAAGAAACGTGGGAGGGAAAACTAAAAAGAAATAGGAAAAACAAGTGTGCAGAGAGCAGTGACAGCAGTGTGGAAGGGCAGGAGCCGGGGACACCTGGCCAGCCACACTCCGAGGCTGCCGGGCCTGCAGTCTCAGGAACCCCCAGGTGCAGGGGGTGAAAGTCTTTCTGTGCACAGACCCGGGCATCCGGGGAAGCATGAGGGAAGGAAGGCACTTCCAGCACACAGGCAACCATCAAGTGGCAAAGTGGGATGCAGCATGAGAGGAAGGCTGAAGACTGGGGAGGGTGGGTCTGCACAGGGAGCAGAGCCTGGACATGCCCCTTGCCACCTGTGCGAGGGGAGCCACAATCTCCTTGGTTCTCACAGTCTCCCTGCATCTGGTTTCTATTCCTCTGCATGAGTCCTGGGGTCTTGCAGGGATAGAGGATGGAAGAGTATATGCTGCTGCCCCAGTGGTGATGGACTCCATGGGGCTCTCTCTGGCCAATAGAAGTGGACAGAATTTGTGGTAGCCAGTTCCAGACAACACCTTCAAGAGGCATCTCACGTTCTCATTACTCCCATCTACTCTAGTCATCTTGATAGCAAGTAGATTCTAACCCCAACTGCAGTTTAGAGCCCAGCCCAGCAGTCCTGCAGCCTGAACCACAGTCAACCAACAGTCAAGTGAATATCAGAACAAAGGCTTGTCACTGCAAAGCACTATATTTGGGGATGTTTGTTACTGAGTATTACTGTGACATTAGCTGACTAATACATACCATATTAATAAACTTAAATGTCATTCTGAAGCAGATGGAGAGTCCCACTGAAAGATTCTAGTAGAAGAAGAACCAGAGAGGATTGACATTTTAGAAAATTCTTATCTGGCATTTGTGGAATGATTGTGATACAGAAAGAAAAGAATTGGAGCAGGGAAATTAAGAGGCTACTGGATAAGAAGCTGAACTGTGGCAATGGCACCAGAGGTGAAGAAGGGACAAGCTCAAGAGCTCCTGAGAAGGTGACATGGAGAACCCTCTTTGGGATGAGTATATCAGTCAGAGCTCACTAGAGGAACAGATTTAGTATAAAATGTATATAAGATTATATACAGGATTTGCTATGTAAGCTTAAAATGGCTGCCTACAGACTCGGTGGGAGAAAGAATGCAAAATGCCAATCTGTGTGCTGGAGAACCCAAGGATCCAGTCCAACATCGAAGGTCTGGAGCTCACTGCAGTGCCAGTGATGTGAGTCTCTGTTGCAAAGTGTGTTGGAGGGCTGAAGAGTCAGCACTGGAAATCTGAAGGAAATGGAGACAAACATCCAGAAACAATGGTGAAGACCAGAGCTGCTCCAAAGAAGCAAAAGGGAAGACTTCCTTCTTTCCCTTTTTATTCCCATGTCTGGGGTGGGTCTCCCCTCCTCAATTTGCTGGCCTACCTGTCAATCATCCAAAACATCCAAAGCTTTACTAATCTGCTAGTCAGTTCTTCCTCTAGTCAAGCTGACATAACACAGTGAACAATCACAATGAGAGAATGAAGAGAGTTTTGGAGAACTCCTATTTTCTGGCTCCACGGCATTCCCTAACTGAGGGAATCTTAAGGAGAGTTTTAGAGGGGAACAAAATGATTCCGTTTGAATCCACTGCATCTGAGGTTCTGGAGTCCACCTTGATGGAATGACCACTCTGATCAAGAGCGCAGCAGAATGATCTGCACTGGACCAGAGGCTAGGGAAGCTCTGCCAGAACTTGGGCAGTACTGATACTGACCAAAAGACCAGGGAGACGTGCAGCATGAAAACGAGAATGGGTTACTGAGAATGGAAAACAGGGGCTCCCTGATGAAAAATAAAAGCCAAAGTACAAGGAAAAGATTACAAAAAGAGAAAAACAAAGCCATGACTGCAAAAAGTGCTGCAAAAGTTGGGAGTTCAGAGCCCCTAGAGTATCATGGATCATGGAACTGGTGGTGGAAAGAACATCTCATAAAAACACCAGCACGCTGACCTGGGCTCAGCGTCTTCCTGGAGAGAGAGCCGGAAGAAGGAACAGGAAGAATGGGAAGTGATGCTTCTGCTCCTAACATGCAGTCTGGGGCTGAGAGCTGAGGGCCTAGCAGGGACAGCAAGACCAGAAAGACAGATTGTGAGTTCTTTGCATCACAGCAATGGTCAAAGCCATAAAAAGTGATGAAGGGCCAGAGGGAACTGGAGAAAGGAAGAGAACAGGATGGATGACAGTTAGGTGTAAGACTATGACACATGATCTAAACTCTCAAAGGAGGCAGAGTCATCAGTGAGCTGTCACAGAAGCAAACCTGGGGGAGGTGCATCTGAGAGCTAGAGCAGATGCTACCATCAGGCTGAGCAGAATTAAAGACCTGTGACCTGCAGCAGCTGCATTGCAGAGTTCCAATGGCACAGAGGGAACAAAGCCAGATTTTTCTGTGAGGAATGAAAAGAAATGGGGCCCTGGAGGAGGATCGTGCGTTTGTTCTTCGCAGAACTGTGGTCAGGAGAGAAGTGAGTATGGCAGGCTGGGAACATTCTCTGCAATAAAGAGATGCCGCCATCTTTGTCACTGGAAGAAGGGCCATGGGACAGAGGAAGTGGCTTCTGATGCAGGAAGAGCCACAGAGGAAGTTGGCAGAGTGAGACAGAGCCCCAGATGGAGCACAAGGCTCAGGCACAAAACAGACCTGCTCTGGAAGGTGGGGAGGAAGAAAGAAGCCTGAATAAGAATGCAAGTACGTGGAGGCCAGGTACCTGGAGGCCAGGGAGGACCTGGTGTTGAGCTCACAGGGCTGTCTGACCTTTTGGTGGGTGCATAGCAGAGACAGACTTGATAACTTGGGCAAGGAGGAAGCACTTAGGGTTAGAAGCTGCTTAAAAACGGATCGTGGAAAGTCCTAGGGTGTTGGCTGTCAGCTGAGGTGAGGTAATTTCTCTTCTTTCCACAGGACCAGTTACAGGGTCATGATTTCTTAAGACAAAACAAACAGCAAAAGGTGTGCATTCATGCAGGGAAATAAAAATAGAACACAAGGTCAACTCTTTGCCAGTGAGAGCACTGACCAGAAAAAGGCTGGTGTCAGCAGTACTAACACTCATCTGGCAGCGGCTGGCTAGAGGGGCAGCTCAGTGTCCCGAGGGAGCTGTAGGGCTGAGCGCCTCCTTCAGTTTGTCATGACACGCTCAAAACAAGCTCTGGAGGAAAGCAGGAAGAAGATGGGAAAATGTGAAAGCAGAGGTCCGGATGCAGAAAACGTCACGTTTGGAAAGAGCCAATTAACAACGGTACAAGAGGAAGAACTTGCCTTTAGGAGAGGAGGTCGAGACTGTAGCCTTAGACATGAAAGATTGTAAGTGACGGCCGAGCCCTGTGTGTGCAGAAGGAAGGCGCCAGAGGACAGGGTCACTGGAGCTGGGAAGGGCTCAGTCAGGGCCCACTGGTGGCCACCATCCCCAGGTCACCCAAAGGGGCACGTTTCCCTTGGGGTGGCCCAAGGAAAGGCAAGTGAATGTCTCAGGGTTCACAAAATGCAGACTAGGAAACAGGTGCAGACTAGGAATGGGTTGGGAAATGCACGTCCTCCATCTAATCACAAGGAAATGTCAGGCAATCTCATAATTGAGGGCGTTTTTAAAGTACCTGACCAGTACTCTAGAAAGTGCCAAGAGCGTCTCTGATGAGGAGAGACTGGGCTGTCAGCTGAAGACACCAAGGAGCAGGACAGCTGTGTGCAGGGTGGACCGCAGGCCGTCCCGGAACAGGGAGGACACCAGTAGAAAAACCACGGAATCCAGCAAGGTCTGGAGCTGAGCCCCCAGGGCAGCTTCTTCGTTTTGGTCGTTGCTGGAGGTTGCACAAGAGGGAAGCAGGGCGACAGCGTGTGTGCTGTCCGTGCAACCTCACTGCCAATCGCGTTGTTTAAAATTTAACTGAAAAACAGGAGATGAGTGTCAAGTGTACGTGTCATAGAGAAATGCAGGCGCCTCTGGCCCTTCTCTTCCTAAAGGAGCTCGTTCAGGTCCACGCCGAAGCCTCCGATGCAGGCCATTGCAGACAGGCCCCGGCAGCATCAGCTCGGGCTCCCCTCCAGAAACGTCAGGGAGGCCTGCTCTGGAGACTCCTCCACACCTCCCGCCTCTGCCACGCTTCACAACTGCGCCCTGGAGAGGAGCGGCCCACCATCGCCGGCCTCCAGGAGGGAGGAAGAGGCCATGAGCCAAGCACGCAGGCCGGAAAAGCAAGCGGGATTTCTGGGTAGGGAACACAGCCATGACCTCAACGGAATTTACTGTGGAATTAACAGTAACTACCAACAGCCTAAATAAAACACCGTCGGAGACTTTTTTTTTGTACCGGGGATCAAACTCGGGTCCTTGCGCTTACCCTGCAGGCAGCAAAACCACCGAGCTAAATCGCCAGCCCAACCAGTGGGGAGTTTTAAACATCTTCTTAAACAATTCCTGGGTAAATGAATATATAAAAGTTAATTTTTAGAATGGCTGCCATTTTCATTAGGGCCATAGCCCTGCCAAACTGGGGTGTAGGAGCAGTGCTGTATTTAAAAGCAAATTTCATTTATATAAATGCTTTCTTTCCCCCTTTTTCATGACTATATGTGTGTGATACACAATAAATACACTCACCATGGGAAATGGGTGTACTTACATATTGCATCTTAGTTCTTTATATTCCCCCTTTCCCTCCTCTCTCTCCTGCCTCTCCCCTGCCCCAAATTCCTCTTCCCATTTCCAAAAGATATGAACTAAACAATTACTTTTGAAATTTCCTAAACTTACAAAAGTGGAATAGTGCAGTTTTCCCCAAAGAAAGCAGGAGGAAGAAAATAAATCAAAATTTAATGAAAGAAGAAATATAATTGCTAAACTAATCCAAAAACAGATTTTAATAACAGCTGGAAATAATTTAGAAATAAGACTTTTAAAGTTCTTTGTATAAGAACATGCTGATTAAATTTAAAATTTCAGAACAATTGATGGCTTTCCAGGAAATTTTAAATCATCTAAATCTGCTTGAGGAAAGATAGAAAATATTTGTCTCCAAAAATTACTTTCAAAAATAGACCACAAATCTAATACCCAGCTCTTGATTTCTAATATCATTCTACAATAAAAAGGAACCAGTTCTCCTCAGACAAATGGCTAATCCTAGGACAACGTGCACCTGGAGCATTTTATACTGACAGAAAACAAGAGAATGCTCAAAAAAAAAGAAAGAAAACCCACAAAGTCAAAAGGACATAGAGCCAACTGAAAATGCTTTCAGTAGCCAGAACTGGAACAATAGGAGCAACAAAATACAGTCATATTTTGAATCAGAGCCCAAAATATAAAATCAATATCCAGGAGTCCACACTGATATAAATAAATGGGGATGAGGAGGCAAGTATCCCACATGAAGCATGTAGCTACTCTGCCCTCAAGGGGACAGAGCATAACTTTCACCCCAGAAGTCTGGACTCCCCTGGGTGACTTTCTCTCTGAGTCCTGCGGACGGGTGCAGTTTCACAATGCAGACACCCAGCTGGCACCACTTGAGCCAGGTGAGAAGGTCAGCATCAACAGTGATGCACTGTATTCATAGTACAGACTGTGATACAATGTGATAAAAATGTTGTTTGCCTCTGGTTCCTTCTTCCAGGCACAAAACTCCAGTCCAGTCATGAGAGAACCCTCAGGTGAATCTGTACAGAGAGACAGACATTCAACAAAATCCCCAACCAGTTCTCCTTGAAACTGCCAAGGTTATCAGAAAAAGGGGAAATCTGAGTAGCTGTGATGGTCAAAAAGAGCCTAAGGGATCTTGGATGGGAATATGGAATGAAAGGGGCCACTGGGTGTTATGATTGGGATCCAAAATACATATTCTGAGGGCCGGGGATTTAGCTCAGTGGTTCCACCGCCTGCCTCGAAAGCGCAAGGTTCCGAATTCGATCCCTGGTACGAAAAAAAAAAAAAAAAAATACCTATTCTGAAGAAAGGCTCATTGTGTTGAAGGTGTGGTTGCTGGTAAGAGCTTGAAAGTGATTGTATCAGGAGAGCTCTTACTTTACCATTTGATTGATCTACTGATGAGATCATAATTTGCTAGCATTAGTACAGGTGAGCTAGACTTAATTGGGTCTCGTTGAGGGAGTGGGTCATGGGAGCGTGTCCTCGGGCACCCTATCTGGTGCCTGGTCCCTTCTTTTCTGGCTCTGCTTCCCAGCTGCCATGAGGTGAGCAGCTTTTTGCTACCACACCCTTCCGCCATGAAGTTTCAGCCTCACCACAGTTCAAAAAGTAATGGAGCCAGCCAGCCATGGACTGAACCCTCTGAGATCAGGAGCCAAAATAAACATTTCCTCCTTTAGATTGCTTTTCTCGAAAATTTGGTCACAACAATGAAAAGCTGGCTAAAACCTTAGATAAAAACTGAAGAGATCTAAATCAAGAATGAAATTTAGCTAATGGAAGGTATTAATGCTGGTTCATTAATTGTAACAAATGTACCATTCTAATGGGAGCTGTCAACATTGAAGGAAACCAGGTGTGGGATCCATGGGAATACTGTTATCTTTGTAACTCTTCTGTAAATCCAAAACTGTTGCAAAACACAAAATTGATTTTGAAAAAGATCACAAGTTAATATTAATAAATTTCTAAGTAATTTTGTTATAGCATCAAGGAATGATCATTAATGGCATGTTAGAGAGCACAGAAAAGTACAAGAAAATTTATTCCTTATAATTATTTAATATAAACTAATACCCACATTTGACAGAGACAAATACATGTAAGATAGGCAGACAGCTGGATCCTAAAATATTTGCAAATTGGATTAAACAGTGCATTAAAAGGAAAATGCAGGGCTGGGGATTTAGCTCAGTGGTTCTGTCGCCTGCCTCGCAAGCGCAAGGTCCCGAGTTCAATCCCTGGTACCAAAAAAAATGCATATTAAAAGAAAAATTCATTCCAACAAAATATAATGTGCAATTTAATATTAAAATATCTATTGTTAAAATAATAACTTCTCACTTCAAAAAATCAAATACAACAAAGTTTAAATATGCTTGAAAGGTCTTTGATGTGTTTTAACACTTATTACAGATGAAAATTCTAAACAACACGGAAATTTTGGGCAGAGGATTTAGCTCAGCGGTTTCGCTATCTGCTGCGCAAGCACAAGGACCCAAGTTCAATCCCTGGTACCAAAAAAAAAAGAATTTGTCACTTAACAACTCAGAAATTTTAAAATTTGGTTAACATGATAAAGAATATCTATCTCAAATCAATAGGCAGCCTACCTAAAACTCAAGCAGTGTTCTCAAAGAAGTTAGTCATAAGACCATGGTGACCTGAAAATTCTCGAGCATTTACCGTGCTTCTGGAAACTGAACATAAGATATTATGTGGCACGGACCAGGCGTGCTGGTGCACACCTGTAATCCCAGCACTCAGAGAGGCTGAGAGACTGAAAGTTCAGGCCCAGCCTGAGTAAGGGCTGGGGATGCAGCTTAGTGCAAAGGCCCTGGGTTCAATCTGGCAGAGAGCGTGGCAAAGAAGGGAGGGAGGAAGAGAGGAAGAGCGGGAGAGAGGGAGGGAGGGAGGGGAGACTATTGAGGTGGCCAGAGAGGCTCAAGGGCCATGAAAGAGGAGCTCAGTATGAGTTAGGAAAAGATCCAAGACCCGGGGGAACGCCAGGAGGGAATCCCAAATGACCGGGACGGCAGAAATGTCAACGGTGGTGAGCAGGGAGCTGCTGAGCTGTGCCGCTGCCCTCTGGACTACCCAGAGCTTACCAGGGTGTCTGCGACCACACGCATGAGTCACTGAAGAGAACAACATACTGAACCCTAAACACGCCTTGCACCGCACCCAGCTTTGAGGCACACACACGCCTACACTTTGGCCACTTCGACCTGAAGGTGCAGGTCTTCAGAAGAAGAGCGAAACCAGCCTCGGAGGGAATCTCAGTCTCTGCCCCATGGGCCCCTTGGGTGGAGGAAGAGCAACAGAACCAGGCAGACAGCTCTGGCTGCGAGGACCTGGGCTGTAAGTCCAGTAACTGCAGCCCCCAGTGACCGGGTCTTGGCTGGCAAGCTCGAGAAATCTGGTTTGTCAAAACCGTATTTGCAAAAAGAAAAATGCTCTGGTCAACACCGTACCCAAAGTCAAGTAACAAAAGTGAGGCCCTTTGTTCTTCACTGTGAGTAATACTTGCTTAATTCCAAATTCAAAGTGTTGAAAAATAGCTGTTGAACCATTAATACACTTACTGTAGAAAAGAAGAATCAAAGGAGACAACAAACATGATGTGGGGTTTGTGAGTCTCCTGTGTAATCACTAACTTTGAACTGCTTTCCTAAAATGCAGCCAAAATCAGTACTAATAATTGCTGTGCACACACACGCATGCACACGCACGCGTGCATAAAATCCACTGCTTGGAATCTGAAACCTTGGACTTTGGCTCCGGATCTACAAAATCATCTGTTTGTGCCTCAGGTTTTAATCATTTACAGGTAAAACTAATATTTAAAAACTCATAAGTGAATAACATGTAGAACTTAAGACTTGACTCAAGTTTGAGATACTTGGATTCAAATTCCTCAGATTAAGTCACTTACCTCTCTGATCCTGATTTTTTTCATATTCTCAAGCCGAGAATGTGTGTAAATGTAGCTCAGAGCTCAACACAGTCTACCTTTGTGTAGCTGGGAAACACAATGCCACCAGCCCGCCTCTTCCTCCCAGCAGAGCAATAATGGTATGAAACTCCAGAAGAAAAGTATTTTGAGCCATTGTTAGAAGCAGAAAAAGGACATACGTATGAGGTAATTGTTATATAGAGCCCAAATATCCACACTAGTAGCCAAGCTTTCTGCAAAGAAAGTGAAATTTCTATCCAACTCGTGTCTATAGTATTGTAAGATGTAAATCTTTTATCTAAATTTAATTTTGTTGGAGAACAAACTGACTTCTTTCAGATGAAGAAATGCAATCATTTGAAGTGCAATCATTTTTCCCAAAAACGGAAGAGTAAAGAGGGCAAACTGAAGCAGATGCGAGCTGCATCACATGCCTCGGGCCTGCAACCCCCACCTCATCCAGAGGCACTGCGGAGGTGGGGGCTGAAGAGAGAGGCAGGGACAGACCCCCCTGGGCCAGCACCTTGCTCACCTGCACAAGGACACCTGTGTTCTTGGGGCTGTGCAAACTGGGGTTTGTAAAGTGGGGTTTGAGCTGGCATAGAAAAATTTAAAGCACTGCTTGACAGCAAAGCTGGAGGTGACAGGAAACAGAACCAAAGGACCTGCCTGACCGGGCCACCAAGGAGAACAGGAGCCTTTGGACCTCAAGTACTGGGGACCCTACAACAAGGGCAGAAGGCCAGAAACACCACGGCTGGAGACTTTGGTTCAATCAAAAAGAGGCTTAGAAAGGAGCGTGGATTTCTGAAAAGAAGAGGAAGAACACAGTCGTAGCAAAAGAGAGGAAGAGAATCAGCTGGCCATGCATGTGCGGATTTACTCCTGGGCCCTGCATCCTGCTGTCTTCATCCACGTGTCTGTTTTCATGCCAAGACCGTGCTGTCCTGATTACCTGGCTCATAGATTTTGAACTCAGGAAGTCTGATGTCACCAGTTTTTGTTTATATTTGGTCATTTGGCTGTTTGCTTGTTTTTTGCTCAAATTGCTTTGGTGATTTGAGGACTTTTATGGTTTCATAGGAATTTTAGGATTGTTTATTTCCCATTTCTGTGAATAATCACATTGGAATTTTGGTATGGATTGCATTGAATCTGTAGATGGCAAACTGATTTTCAACTAAGATGCTAAGAAGGAAGAAGACAGTCTCTTCAGGAAATGGTCCTGGGAAAACTGGATATCTACATGCAGAATGATAAAATTAGAATCTGATCTCATACCATTTATAAAATCAACCCAAAATGGATTAAAAATGTCACAGTAAGAAATGAAGTTATAAAACTTCCAAACAATGACATAGGAGAAATAGAACCAACATTGGTCTGGGTAAAGGTTTATTAGATATGATCCCAGAAGCAAGGGCAATAAAAGTGAAACTAGACAAATAGAAGGCATCAAACCAAAATCATCTGCACAACAAAGGAAACAACAGATTACAGTGACAATCCCAGAGATTGGGAAAAGAATTGCAAAGCATATATCTGATAAGCTGCTAATACCCAAAATAGACAAGGAATTCAACTCAATATCCAGAAAATAAACAACCCAATCAAAATGGGCAAAACAGGTAATGAGACAGTTCTGAGAAGAAGATAAAAATGACAACAGATACACAAAATCACTCCTCTTCCCTGACCATCAGGGAAATGGAATCTCACACCTGTTTGGGGGCCTTGAGCAAGAAGATGAAAGATAATGCGGATAAGGATGTGGACAAAAGAAACTCTTGGCAGCAGTTGGTGAGAATGGAAATTAACATAGCTATTGTGGCCAGGTGCATGGAGATTCCTCAGAGAACTTCAACTAGAACACCTGTATGATCTAGTAAACCCAGTCCTGGGCATCGATCTGAAGGAACTGAAATCAGTATGCCGAGGAAATATCTACACTCCCATGCTCATGGGAGTATGACTCACAATAGCTATGATGAGTAGTCAACCTAAGTTGATGAATCAGTTAAGAAGAAAGAAAATGGGAGATATATAGATAGATAGATAGATAGATAGATAGATAGATAGATAGATAGATACACACACACGCACACGCAGTATGTAGAGAAAATACAGTGTAATACACACACACACTCACACACAATACATGTATCCATGGAAAATCATTTAGCCTGCAAAAGACTGACATCCTGTCACTTGTGACAACATGGATGAAAGCAGAGGACATTCTGTTAAATGAAACCAGCCAGACACAAGAAGACAAGCACTGTACTGCTCTTACTTACCTGTGGAGATTTTAGAAGTTGAACTCGTAGGAACGGAGCAGGTGGTGTTTCCCAGGGGCTGAGGGAAAGGGGGAAGCTGAGCACAGGGTGTACAGTTCCAGTCAGCGAAAGAAGCTTTCTTAGTAAGCGTTCCTGACTTACTGCACAGAGTGGTGACCAGGACAAAGAGCAATGCACTGTACTTTTCAAAATTGCTAGAACAGTAGCTTTTAAATGTTTTCACCATAGAAAGATAAGTGTGCCGGGTGATGAACTTGTTCATTTTCTTGATTTAATCATTCTGCAGTGTAAACATATAGCAAAACAATACATGGAACTCTTTACATACATACAGTTACAATCTGTCAATTGAAGACAACATTTTTAAAGTTTTTTTAGAAGAAAGGAAGAGAGAACGAGAGCGGGAGAAAGCAGGGCAGCAAGGGGGCCGGGAGCATACCTTTTGTGTGGGGAGAAAATGTTTGTGGAAACCTGGGAATGGAGTAAGAAGAGCTGGGGCCCCAGGTCAACCCCACATCTTTGAGCACAAGAAACCTGTAGAGCAAAGTAAGTGACCGCCACATGCTCCTGTCACCTCTGGACACTGTGTTTCCAGTGTGGGTCTTTGCACACAAGTCCTGCACAGTGACCCACATCTGGGACCTCACTGGAGGCCCGGGGCGTCAGCCCCTGGCACTCCCGCCAGCTCTAGTCAGAGTGGAGCGGAGGGGCCTCCGGGTTGCCCTCACGGTGTAAGCTGGATGCCTGCCCAGGCTGCTCTGCACAATCTTGTCTAGCCTTCCTGTTAGGTGTGCACACCATTTAGCTTTTCCATGATATTTGTGGCCCAAATCAAGGTAGAAGACGGCAAAGCCTCTGTAGTAGGAATGAAAGGAAGGGTAGAAGGCAGCGAAATGTCTGTTGTGGTCTGAGTGAGCCCACAAATGTTCAGAATACCTAACCAAAGCACAGTGGGGCCCTCTAACAATTTCTGCTTTTTCCTCAAAACTGGTCATCAACAAATATGTCTTTTTCAAAGCATGATGTAAACTCACTGTGGGGAACGAAAGCACTGTTGAGCCCACTGTCTCTCCCAGACCGAGATAAAATGACTAACTCTTTGTTGGGTTCATCTGCCAGTGCCGGCACTGGTTACCTTCTGCACAGCTGGGTCCCCCTCTCCCACCACAGCCCAGCATGCTGGTTTGCTCTTCTGCCTGCCGCCCCTGGAACATGAGAAGGTGGGGTGCTAAGTCCATCCTAGGGGCCACCCTCAGCCAGTCCGCGACCCGGAAGACCACAGCCCCACAGCCAGGACTGGGGCAGGTGCTCATGACCTGCAGAAAGAAAGACAGCCACCTGCCCCGCACCCTGAGACTTCAAGTATGAAGTTAGCAACACCTCAAATTGGCAACAAAAAGACAACAATAATATATGTGCATGCACACACACACACACACACACACACACACACCTACACCTACACCTACACCTACACCGTGAGTCTGACATAGGACAATCTTGCCGTCATCAGAGGAGTCAGAACTCAGCGTGGCCATAGCAAATGTTCTTGCACCGCCAGTCAAAAGTAGGATTCGAGCGGCTGCCTGGTTGCAGCAGCCTGGGCTGGTTGGCAATCAGTCATCAGAACTGGGTCAGCTCAGCTCAGCCAAGAGCACTGCGCCAGCCAAGCTGCCAGCCATAGTGCAGAGTCTGGAAGTGGGGCGGCCCCGGGGCAGGGACAGCGGAGCCACGAGCAGTCAGCAGTCCCCAGGGAGAATCAGGGTGGGCAGAGAGATGCTTCCAGCTTGGAGACTCCTAGAACCAAGATGAACTCCCTGCACCACTGCTGCTATACCCGCAATTCACTTCCCAATTTTTCTGCAAAACAGAATAAAACTGAAAGCAAGAGGCCTGTGCTAGATCCTGAAGGAGCTACTTGCATGTTGCAAGAAGGCAGCAAGGTTAGCAGCACTTCACAACCCGAGCAGAGCCAGAGAGCAGGCTTCACACACACACACACACACACACAGCACACTCATACACAGTGACAGGTACACACATACCTAGGCACATGCAGACACACTCCCTCACACACGTGCAAGCACGCATACCCTCGGGCGTGTACACACATATCCATATGCACAAGTGTCCACCCCTATGTATCCACATGCACTAACATAAGCATAGCCATGTGTACACACTCACATACACTCACATACGTAACCCCAGGCACACACACACCCAAGGCTGGGCAGCACATTTGCATACTTATGCACAAACACACTCACACAAGCCCACACACAGAATGCTGACACACTCACATCTCCCTCACTCCGGTGCTTTCCGAGTGCCAGGGCGTGAGCCAGCCTCCTGCAGACCAATCAGAGTCTGACACGAACTCAGAAACCCGACTTCTCAGCAGCCTCCCCGTGAGTCTGGATGGATTTGCAGACAACTGGCAGCTGCTGGGATCAGAGGGAAATGAAGTCGGAAGTGAGCAGCGAAGCAGGGAGAGAACTCAGGGGCCAGTGCTCCCCGCCAGACCAGGGCAGTACCCTCCTCAGGAGCCCACAGCCTCTTACCCGCTGCAGGCACATACTGAGTGCCATCTGTGCACCAGGCACTGTGAGAGGCACAAGCAACACAGCTCCACCTGTGTCGCTCAAGGAAACAGGTGTGGCTGAAGGAGATGACATCCAGGAAGCCACTTGTCCTCCAAGGAGGAGCACACACCCCGCTGGCAAGCGGCTCTGCTTTTGGCATCCCCTCTCCTTCCACCCTGGAACATGCTCAGTAGCATCTTAAGAACAGGAAGAAGAAAGCTAATCTGAGGACAGATTGGCAGAAGGACCAAGGAGCTGGCCAGGCACCTCCCTCCAGCCTTCGTGGTACAGGAGAAACATGCCACCCTCTGGCTGAGGGTGACATTCGGCGATCTGCCTCATGAATCCAGTCGGCCCTGAGAGCTGCAGGACACAGATGACTGCACAAAAGGCATTCAGTACCTCTGCCCATGGTCACACACAGCCAGATGGACAGAGACTGAGACGCCAAATACAGAGGAAGTGTCCATTCTGCTAGGAGGGAAAGTTGCCCCCACCAGCATGGCAAGGGTCCAGTGGAACCAGCCTGCCAGCCACCAAGTGAGTGACTGAGTCATCAGAGTCATGCCCCTTGGACATGCTCTGAGAGCTTACACAGAAGGGTAGGAACACACTTGCTCTATCAGAGAAGATCCAGGAGTCGAGGGGGGCAGGGGGACAAGACACAGGGCGCAAGCTCTCCCACTGCGTGTGAAAACTGCTCTCAGCACCACGGAGGAGTCCGCACAGCACGTGGGTTGGTTCCACTCTGGCATCTCAGGCCGGAGACCAAGCACCTCGAAGACAGAGGTGCCACCCTGTGCTCCCTTCTTGTCGGTGCCGCTGGCATCCCTCTGAGAAAACCCCAGGTCTTCCCTTGGCTGTTTCTCAGCAGTCTTTACAGCTGCCCCGGGTTCACATGAGAAGCCTGAGAACCCTGGGAAATCCCAGCTGGGAGAAGGCGCTCAGAGACGTTCTGGTCCACTCTGTCCCTGTTGTTTCTGGTGTGACTGCTTCAGATGAAAACGCAACCATAAGCACCCACCCAGGGGCAACATTTTCTTAATTTCACGATCTGTATCAGGGGCAGGAAGGGGGTGAGAGCATAGAAGAAACCCATCCATAAAGCCCAGAGCTCCAGGCATAAACCATCGGTTCCAATGTGACGCGCTCCGTGCAAGCCTCGAGCCAGCAGGCATCAGCAGAGACTCAGGCCTGGGATGTGAGGCCTCCCACCTGGGCCATGGCCAGCTGTGCACATCAGAAGCCTCCCAGAGGAAAGACACATGAGCTGCACACTGACCAAGGGTCTTTCTGCCTTTTTTCCAGCTGATTGAACAGCGTCCCCCCAATGGGGCAGGGCAGGTCCTCTTGGAGTCCATTGACTCTAATGCCCACCTTTGCTAGAAATGGCCTCTCAAGCATATCCAGAAATAATGCTTTCCTAGCTCTCGAGGCTTCTTTTTACCCAGTCAAGCCATCAGATGAAAGTCCCCATCATGCTGTCCCAGGGTCTTAGGGCTGCCGGGGAAAGGCATCACAAACTCAGTGGTCTAAACTTTCACATCAAATCAGATATTGATTACACGTATTGTAACATTAACAGAGCAGATCTGTTTCCTCACTTCACAACTCACGTTAGCTTTGTACCGAGAAAGGATGATTCATTTCCCCCTCATTCTCAAGACTAACAGGAGACGGTTCATCTTCAACCTCTTTAGTACAGAGGAGCTCCTTTATTTACTTCCATATTTTTCTCAGCAGTGCTTATCTGGAGATGTGTTTCCAGGACATTTTTTCCTGAGGCGCTATTTTTCCACATGCAATCTTCCACATCTGCTTCAGTCTTGTCTCTTTCCCATTCTTCAGTTTTCTGAAAGAAAAAAAAGTTCTGAATTCTGGGAAGTGTTATCCAAAGAGAAAAATACTTTTGATTGTCTGTTTACTTGGTTTAGGGAAATAGAAGTGTGCAAGATGCAGACAGCCCTGGTCAGCACTTGGCGGGCTCCACCTGACCCCTCACCTGGGTCTGCTGGCTGAGCCAGCTGCGGAGCTGCTTGAGGCCCTGTGAGCACAGCCCGGCCAGCTCCGTCACCACTCGCTGGTTCCATCTACGGAAGTGACAACTGATTTGCCCTGCAAATTTCACTTGTAAAACTATCCTGATTACCAACATATACAGGAAACTTTTGCAGCTCTCTAGTCCCCACACATTAACACATCAACTTTCACATTTATGAGGTTAAAAAAAAATGGAAGCTAAGAGGAGACTGTGTTTATATCATTGTAACATGCGTGTGGCAAGGACAGGGCAGAACTGCTGACATCTTGCCACAGATTGCCTCTGATGCTGGACATAGAACTGCAGGACTTAATGTTTGCCCTGCTGGATTCTGGACTTGCTTTGGTCCCATTCCTTTGTATCTCCCTATTTATAATGGAATGGAAATGTTTATCTTGTGCCGCTGAATGTTGGAAGTGTTTAACTTTCTTTTCTTTGTACAGGGGCTTGCAACTAAGAGTTTGCCTTCAATCTCAGAGGAATCCTCGGACTTGGACTTTTCACCAATGCTGAGACTGTTAGGACTTTGGCAACTCCTAGAGATGAACTAAATGTCTTTTGCATAAAGGGATATGCATGGGTTATGGGGGGCCCAGGGACAAAATGTTATGGCTTCTGTCTAGATAGTTGTCCCCACAAGCCTCATGCATTCATAGAGGGAGGCTTTTCAGAGGTGGCTGGATCTAGAGTGTGTGATGCTGGGATCAAGGGTGTGTGATTACTAAATCAGCCCACTGATTGGTTTTACCTAGTTCTGGCTAGGATTAAGCGTGTGAGTCCTACGCCTGCCCTAAGACAGGTAGTCTGCCTAAAATACAAGGGACAGAAAGAGAGCTAATGTGTTCTCACCTGCCTGCCTGCTGTGGACTGTTTCTCCTCTCCAACACCCCTCTGCCATGTGCCACCCTGCCTTGGAGCCAGCTGACTATGGGCTAAAACCTCTACAAACTGCAAGCCAAATAAACCTTTCCTCCTTTTAAAAAATAAATAACATAACAAAAATCCATTCTCTCATGATTAAGGAGGCCAGAAGTCCAAAATGGTGGGTCAGTGGGGCCAAGCTCTCTCTGAGGCTCTGGGGCAGCATGGTTCCTCGCCTCTTCCTGGGTCACAGTGTTGCTGGAAATCCTTGGTGATCCTTGGCTTGTGGCTGCATCACTCCCATCTCTGCCTCCATCTTCACACCTTCACCTCACAACTTCTCCTTGGCATCTCCATGTCAAAATCTGTCTCCTCTTATAACACATCAGGCACTGGATTAGGCTCCCTTCCCCAGTTTGCCCTCATCTTAACTGGACTACATCTGTAAGAACCGACTTCAAAATAAGGTCACACTTGAAGGATCCAGGTTAGGATTTAACACCTTTTTGGAGGACTCAACTGAACCCTCCACAGACATGGAATAAAGGAGTTGGGAAGTCCCTCTCTCCTCTCCTTTAGCCCTTTTTACTCTTGGAGAAGCATTTTGAGTAGTGAGACTTGGAGAGAGATGGATGCTTTATTATGAGGACAAGTATGAATTTAAGGATTTTAGTGGATCAGGACCTTACCCAGGGAAATAAGGAAGCCAGCTGGCAAACTCTGGAGCTTTATGCTCTGAGATAAAAGAGTTCAAGGGTCCTTGAAGTTCCCTTCTTGGCAGCTTGATCTGGGGGAGAAGCCAGTCTAGAAAGGCTGGTTCTTCCTTCCTAGGCACTGTGACCACACAGCCTGAACAGGAGGACATGAGTTCTGTCCTCCAGCGCCATTCATTGGCCTCTGGTGGTCCTTATGCTCCCCAATCAAGAAGGTAAGGGGCCAAGAAGACAGAGGGCCTCCAGTGCTTCTAGGGCACTGCCATAATTGGGGTGTGCTGAGGGGGACAGAGGCATTGAACTCACAAACCAATTGTTCATAATTTCTATCTCCAAAAATCTAACTTGCTAAGCAATTGGTGCCAATTGTCTTACCTTCATGTGAAGTTTTCTTTGTATGCTGCTTTCATGTCCATGCACAATTACAAATTTGACAAAATTTACAGATGGGAGTCCAAGTGTGGGAGCACCATAAACTATACAATAGCAAATTGCTGATCATCCCCTCTACAGAGGTTCTGCCCTAAACTCGTCATTTCTTCCATTTCCATTTATAAGTTTCAAGACCTAGACTGTTGCACTTTTTTCCTCAAAATGTTGCCAGATTCCAAGCCATGTTAATCGATCTTTCCCCTCCACGATCTCCTTTGTATCAAAGAAATCAGTATTTGATGGACAGTGGTGATAGTGATTCTGTGTCGCTTCTTAACAAGCTCGAAGATAGACTGCATTGTACATGTATTTGTAAGATGCTCAGTACTTACCTGACACCAATAACTGGCCGACATACCCTTACTAATTGAGTGAACAATAACCCATTTAAAAAGAAAGGAAGTCGGGAATCTTGGGGAATCCAGTCTCCCCAGAAAAGCTCAGGAGGGAACAGGAATGGATTCTGGCCAACTGCCTTGCCAGCCCTCATGTAGAAAAAGCAGGAAGAGTTCACTTAGCCTGGGGAAGGACCAATGCAGGGTGCGAATCAAGGGCTGAAGTGAGTCTCGGTGGCACAGTGTCTGGTTAGTATGTGTGAGGGCCAGGGTCCATACCAGAAAAAAGCTATTTTGGTACATGTAGGGGTGG